TTTATTATTACCATTTAGTTGGTGTGTATCGATTTTCAAACCGTGGTTGTCGGGAGGAATGTTAGCGTGTTTTATGAATTTATCTAAAAATCGTCATTTTGACCCCAAATAATTATTTTAATAGTTTTCACAGTCACAGTATGAACCAGCGATTATAAATGGAGGTAACATTTTTATTTTGTAAGAACAGATACAATTTTTGGCTGGCGGATGGCGGCTGGCGGATGACTTCACTCCGGTACTGTGTTTGGTTTCGAGCACCGCGGAGGGCGCAACCCACGGACCTCGTCAGGCTAGTACTTCGTGTAGCGTGAACATGATGTGCAAATGATTCATTCATTCAAAAATTATTCAATGACAAATTACAATTTGAACAACTGCACATCAAATTTTGCAAGCAAACACTCGGTGTACATAAAAGGTCCAGTAACATTGCTTCTAGAGCAGAGCTTGGAAGCTACCCAATCATCACTGATATATGTTCACAAATGCTAAAATACCAAAGGAGAATATTAAATTCAGAATGCAGCCCTTTGGTTCAATGTGCATTCAAGTCAGAAAGCAAACTACCGGTAAATGGCACTACCTGGATAGCATTTGTGAACAAATTACAGGAAATAACAAATGTACATGATAATGCAGAGTTCAATAGTATACAAACGAAAATGAAATTACAGAAAACCTATATTGATAACCAGTGGTTGCCAGCCCTCCAAAAACCAGAAAATAATAAATTACGCATTTACAAGACATTTAAATCAAAATATGAATTGGAGCCATATCTAGAACTTGTAAAAAATATTAGTCATAGAATAAGTATAACCAAATTTAGAATCTCTGCTCATACACTGCCAATTGAAAGGTTAAGATACAAAGGCATGCCTTCAGAGGAAAGAATTTGTAATTTGTGTGAAGACAAGGCTATTGGTGATGAAATACATGCATTATTGGTTTGTAAGAACCAAAGGTTAATAACTAGTCATACACAATTTATTAATACTTTGTCATTGTATAATGATAGTCTATTTTTTTGTTATTTTTTGTATATTGTTTGTTTTAGGTATTTAAGTAGTGGAAAACTGTTGTTGCATATGTTTATAAAATTGTTTATTCTATTCTGTTTATTTATTATGTTACATTCTATAAACAGCAGTTTTCGTTCTTTCTTATAGTGCTCACAGTCTAAAATAACATGGATTTCATATGACTCGGGCAGTCTGTACTTTGTTTGAAACTCAGACTACTAAAGAATAGTGGTCTGAGTTTGAAATCACTTTTTACTTTGTTAAAAAATGGCACAGATCTCACTACTGCATCACTGAAATCGACAACCATTACACCCCGTCCATATTTTATTTTTGCCGTGAGATGACTCAGGCGAAATAAAAGTAAATAGAGCATTTGTTGGAGGATTCAGCGAAATCTACACTAAGTTGTTAAAGGTAATATTAAATTCTTCAAATAACAATGCAAATACAGAATTAAAGGCGTTACAAAATCAAACAATTACTACCGCACCCCACTGCCGCCACAAAAAAAAACTTCATTGACATATTCAATTATTCCGTTGTGTGTGTGTCACTCGGAGTAATAATATGGGTCATTTCGAGTCGTTTACGAATTTCATTGTTTTCATTTATTTCAATCGACAATAAATTTCAGTTCTTTGTTCATTGACTTGTAATTTGTTTGTTAAATAAATGAGATATTTTTTTCATTATTATTGTGGTTAATAAATGTGTGTCTTATTTTCCCAATTCCCCAAGCACGTAAGCAGCCATATAACTAACTTAAACATCGCCCTCTATTGAAGATTTATACTAACGTAAAAATAACACCTCCGTTCACAATAGTATAGTCCACTTAACTTTTTTGTTTCCCTTTCTTCTATCGACACTCCCCGGGGATAATAATTGTTTGTGAATATTACGGGTGAAAAATAACAGAAGTAAAACTGAAACATGCACACTACACTTTGCACACGATAATATTAGTGTGACCACGACAATGTTATATTAGATACAGGGAACAGCAGAAAGCATGGTGTTGATTTGATAACAGGTGGGGGAGGAATAGCTATTTGACAACAGCCTAAAGTTCGATACGTTTCCTGCCAAATACAAGGCAATCGTGATTTGCAGGGTCTGAAGTTCTCCGTAGTCAGCTGTTGTCGAGCTTCACAATGAAAATACAATTGTGTGCTGTGATCGTCTGCCTGACACTCGGTCACGTCTCGTCATTCCCGCACGGAGCACCGGGGACTTCATGTATTCGTGAACCTACGGGGCATGGTGCACCTAAAAAAGCTGGTGATAACGGTTTTCGTGTTAGGGTGGAGAGTGACCCTGACACCTATATACCAAATGAAGTTTACACAGGTGAGTTGTATGACAACAAGCACACTCACATTCATTTGAGCAGTACGCTACGTAACAATAATGTGTGAACAATCGCGTAATGAAGGCCGTCTAACAGAAAAATCCTCACTGTAAACCTATTATAATTCATGAAGCAGACAACATACCTCATGAAAAATACTTTCGGAACAAACGGTCATAAAACTAAATATATTGAAAAGACATACAGGGTGTGAAAACAAAACGGTTTCTCCATATTAACGTTTGAATAGTTGTGCCCAAAACTTATTACAGACACACATTCTTAATTTTATAATTAAAATTTCGTCACTGATTACACCCTACATGGTGGCCTATAAGACCGTCTCTGTCGAGCACCTTATCTACCTTTGACATAAATGGCCGACAGGATGAAGGAATTACAATACCTCGATTCTATTCTATCACTCGTCACAGCGTCTGCTCTAGATAGATAAAACAGTGCACTCAAGAATTGTAAACATAAAATTCAGGTTGATTTAGACACCAAGTCATAAACTTTTTCACTCTGAAAGCTGAACTAGTTTTGGAACTATTCCTAAAAATATCACAAATTTCTAATAATTTGTGACAACTTTTGAGCATTCCCATCTTTTAACTACATATGATTTGTTTCACCACATGTAACCAGACAAAAATGGGGAGAACTTTATAAAATAAAATAAAAACATATTTTGGAGTTGAGGAAATCTGAGATGCATGTATTACAACCATCATTTTCCTAGTGATATGTTGTATTTCACTTCATATGTATATTTATGGTAATATCATTTGAGTAACTGCTCATACTTAGTAATGTTTGTTTGTTCTGTTGATAAATATTACACTTATCAAAATATATCACTGTTGAGGTCATGATTAATAGAGTAGGTCTGTTAACTTAGTTCAAATATTTGGCACTTAGGGAGAAACTATTCTCTTATATAGGGGTAATTGCTTTGACTGTAAGGGGATAGTAACCATATTTCTTGCTTTCTAAGGCACCCTTAGTTCTTGTGTAAAATTTGTTATGTTTTTTTTTCCTATTTTTAATTTATGTTTTGGCCTAATTGACACAGTTCTGTTAATTTCATGTAAAGGAATAATGTATTTTACCTATGTTGTGTACGTTGAGTCCCATATCGAACAGAACACAGTGTGACGACCACTGCCCTTTAAACGATCAATTAAGTTGCTGTGATGTCATAATATAGAGAATCCATAAATCTGCATACATTAATTTATTTACTGTTAGTTTTTACCCATAGCATTATTAAAGTACTGACATACCATGTATAGTAATTGTAAAAATTAATGCTTTATTTATTTTTGAAGTAAAAACTATAACTATAGACCTAGCATCGAGAGAATAACATTGTTGCTAATCAGTTGCAGTAAAAGGGTTGATGTTAAGCTGTATCTGGATTTGACGTGTTCAAGATTATTGTTGTCATATTTAAATACTTTGTTACATCAGCTGCAAATGTGCTGTATGTATTGTACCAGGTAATTGAAATTAAATTCTCTCACTAAATGTGAATGTTTGTATAGTGTAAAATGTTTTACTATTACATTCATTTTATATACATATTGCTATTAACCAATAGAAAATGTTATTTCTAAGGATGCAATAAAGATATTATTATTATGTTTTTTTATTGCCATTTCTATCTTGTTATTTATCAGTCAATCTGTAATAGAAGCCGCATCTCTAATATAAGTCGCTCCCATTCTTTTTGAACAATTGAGAACCAAATATTCACCATTTCTCATATGTGTAGATACTCTAATAGAAGCCATATCCCCTCTGTTGTATTGTACCATTTTATTAGAAGCTGCAGCTTCTAATACAGATTTTAAAGTACTACATGTATAAGTAGAAAAAAGTTATGTAATAAGGTTATGAGAAGAGTATCACAAAGTATGCAATCAGTCAGAAATATGATAGTCTCATGTAACATTATAATGACTTTAAAGATTCATATAGAGCCGAGTAGTAGTAATTGTTGTTGATGTGATATCTGGGTATTGACCTCATCACAATAAAGAACAGCAGTTGTTGGGATGAGTCATGTTTGTGATTCAATGTGTGTTGAATAAACTGGTTCTTACAGGAAATTCCAACTTGCACTGCATGGCAGTTTAATCCATACTTTTTGACTCCCATGTGAAGCACACAATGGGAGTCTTTGCAGTTAGTTTGTCTGTATGTGTGTGTGTCCATCTTTTCCACTGATATCTCAAGAACCATACATCGATTTTTGATTAAACTTGGTGCATATATGCTCTAGGCCAATGCGCAGATTTGATTGGGTTTTGGTAAAAATCCATTCATATTAATTACCTAATCTGCATGATAATTAGATAATTTTTAGCTGTTCTGCGACTGTTCCACTGATATTTAAAGAACCATTCATTGGATTTTGATGAAACTTGGTACATAGATGCTCTGAACTAATGCACAGATTTGATTTGTTTTGGGTAAAATATTAATTACCTAATTTGCATAATTATTAGTCAATTTTCAGCTTTTCCACTGATATCTCAAGAACTACATGTAATAATCACATTTCAATGAAACTTTATACATAGATGTCATAGGACACTGAAAGGAGTAATCATTACATTTCATTGAAACTTGGTACATAGATGCTCTAGGACAATATACAAACCTGATTAGTTTCGGGTTAAAATCTGTTCATATCAATTTCCTAATTAGCATAATAATTCATAATTTCCAATGAAACTTGGTACATAGATGGTCTGTTACATTGCACAGACCTTATTAGTTTTACACTCAAATCTGTTCATAATAATTTCCTGATTTGCATAATTAGTTTTCAGCTTTTTAGCTCCGCTGTCGACTTTGTCGAGCGGAGCTTATCATATGAGTGATTGTCCGCCGTCGTCCGTGTCAATGTTTTACTTTTCCGACTTCTTCTTGAAAACTACAAGCCTCAATGCTTTGATACTTGGTGTATATGTACCTTGGGTAGGCCTCTCTCAGATTTGTTCATTTCATGATGATATCTTCAATTCTCTAATTTTGATGAATATTTTTGTCATTTTGGTAAAAAGTGATATTTTCGACTTCTTGTTAAAAACTGCAAGTCCAATTGCTTTGATATTACATATATAGGTACTACATGTGGTCTTCTCTCAGATTTGTTCATTTCATGATGATATCTTCAATTCTCTAATTTTGATGAATATTTTTGTCATTTTGGTAAAAAGTGATATTTTCGACTTCTTGTTAAAAACCGCAAGTCCAATTGCTTTTATAATACATATATAGGTACTACATGTGGACCTCTTTCAGATTTGTTCATTTTGTGGTGATATCTTCAATTATCTAATTTTGATGATTATTTTTGGTGAAAAGTTCTTTTTGCTTTGATACTCAGTGTTCTCCACAATCCAAATTAGCTGGTGGGCGGCCTAATTAGCATAAATTTGCATATTAATTTGCATATCGTTTACATACAGCATTCTCGCATTTATGACATGAACTGCAATACACACTAAGTTATTTACT